ATTTAATATGAACTGCTCTGCATATCATATCGTAAACCAGGAAGTGCATTATAATAAATGCAGTAAGAGCACTACATGTAATATGTAGTTATAGAAATATTTTAAAAAGCATTTAATTTTATTACAAACAATTAAATTGGGTACTTACGTAATATCCCTTCCACCATGAAACTTTCGCTTAGCAACGTGATTTAACGCCAGTTATGGATAAGCGTGACATCACAACACATTCGTAACATTTGCGCTTTCTTTTAATGTAACCTCTATTAGTTCTCAATAAGGTACCTTTTATTTTTATAAACAGGGACATAAATGAAGTGTTGCAGCATTTTTTTCTTGCTGCTCATTTTGTTTTTTTCCCCTTGCATGCCGCCCAGACGGTATAGTGGTTAGGGAAACCTGACTGCAATACCAAAGGGCCTGTGTTCGAATCCCGGAGAAGGCATGGTTGTAACAGTCCGTCCCTTCATAGGAGGCAATGGTGGCCCACCTATCAGGTGCCCCCATAATAAAGAGACTACCACATCTGGCCTTAGTATAGATTAATGGACTTTGCTACAAAACTCTAACTGTTCACAATCTACCATTGGGCGAAATTGTTTTTCTACTACTTGGACTAAAAAAACTACTTAGGATCTGCCATCTACAGAACAGTAAGGAGTGGAATATTTTCAAAGTTAAGGGATTTTACCATCAGAAACAGTTCGTATTATTGGATGCAGCTGAATATGGCTGACAAAACAGATAAGAACAGTTACTCGCAGAAAGTTTGCTTTCATAGCGTTCTAAACAGAGCTTCCGATAAAACCGGAGGACGTAACAAAATAGTAGAAATCGACGAAAGCCTTTTTAGGGAGCGCAGAAACGAATCGGGTCGAATACTGATTATTTATCAAATAAAGAGGTATCATTACTTTCAGAATTCCGCAGGAACAATTGGTGAAACTTTAATGGGATCTTCGAAAACTTTCATGGTTCGATGGTAGCCACCTTTTATGGTCGATGGGATAAATACGTAAGTACCTAAAATTGTATTTTACGTTTTAAATATGATCAATAACTTGAACTGATATACTAGTTGCTGTTCCACAGTCATAAAATTTATTTCGCAGCAAGAAACATGAAAAATCATTAGCTCCTTTTCTCAGATTCGAATTCCTAAGACCCAGGTCACTAGCCGGACTGTTTCCAGTTACACCACGACATACGGTAAATGATAAGAAAATTTCTTGCATTATTATTTCAAACTTCGAGGTTTTATAGAGGAAAGGAACGCCACTAAACAAAGAACTAAAAAGTGTTCAATTTCACTTTTTCAATTTTACAAAATAAAAATGTCTATATTTCTTTATTTCTCAGAATGCGTCTAAGGTTCTAACAGTTCACCGATTGTTTCAACATTTTTAAACGATAAGTAATGACTTCTCTGAGATAAATTTTTAGCAATCGCATAATTTGGAGATCATTGAGTTTTAACAGGTCATCGCGGATCAGCATATTTAACGCCCACATATGTTTTTTTCTCTATAGCTACTCAAAAGGAACATGTATGCAAATAAGACAGGGACAATACAGTACTTAAAGACAAATATGATGAGTGATTGGAAATACTAAAAGAATTCATAGACAATTTCTTGTATTGAGCACGTTAAGTTATAAGGTATTTCTCCCGTAGCATGCCTTCGTGGTGTAATGGTCAGCACACTCGGCGCGTATTTTGAGAGGTTCGAGTCCCGGCGAATCAAAGTTAACAATGATCGCCATTTGTCACATATTACTTTTAAAGCAAGTTATACATATATTTCCAAGAATTATAGTTTTAAATTTTATTAATTTATTGAATGTGTGACGTTAATTATGGGTTGTTCTATGGTAAGATTCAGGTAAATTATAAGTAAAAGTTTTCAGCCTCTTTTAAATTACTTTTAGTGTTCACAGGTTAAGAAATTATCAGTAAAAAAAGCACAAAAGTATGATTGAGAAAAGGAAAAAAAATAAAAACACAGTTACAAGTCATTTTTGATAAAATAACTCAGAACTATTCATTAGAAGACTGTGAAAAAAGGGAAAAAAGAGACTCTGAAGGTGAAATAAATAACAGTGATTACAGTACGGCCCTGAAATATATATATAACTTAGCCGCTATATCATATGAGTGAACAAATTATAATTTAATGATAATATAACTTTGCACATATTTCTCATATTTCATATATTCATCATTTTCATATATTTCTCATATATTCATCATCGAAGTAAAAAAAGGAAACACAAGTGAATTTCATTTTTCTAAAACTGAAAAATCTATTTAAGTCAAGACAATATTTTAGTTATATCTTTAAATGATTTATTACATTTTTGGTTTAAAGTACTCAAAGAATACATTTTTATCATTAACTAATTAGTATTTTAAAGAGCAATTTTTTATTATCTAGGTATCTTAATTTATTATTTAAGTTTGTCTTTGGTCTATTTGATTATGGCAAAGCATATTAGGGCTATAAGCCTAAGGGAAGGGATACCTTCTGTGGAGGACCTTCTAAGGAAAACTGTCTCATATCCACGCTAAAAGGAAGAAAACCACGAAAACGCCATGAAGCCAGCCCGTTCGCCTAGAATCGAACCCAGGTATCAGGTGTTTAGGTACTATAAGGTAACTGTCAGCATTGAGCGACTTCTCCGCGCGACTGCTGGCATGGATATCGTTAAGTTCAGGTTCAATCGCATCAGATGTTAAAGCTTTGTTGGTTATTTGCATAATATTACTCTGCTATAATGCTGATAATTTTTCGAGGTGTCAAATTTTGCGCAAATGTTGCCTTGAAGCGTATTTAATGTAACCTTTATGCGTGCTTTTTAATATGCTATGTTTATCATTTAATTCTTCTTTTCAGAAAGTATACGCGGCGCATTCCCCTCTCCGTTTTTAGGCCGTAATTAGTACGAAAAGGGGGAATATATGCGAGTAACTACGATACTTATAAAAGCAAAGGATGTATTAAAATTATATTTTATTCATATTTAGCTTTTAGCTATTACATAGATTCAAACTGATGCTCAGAATTAATGATTCAAAGTCTTTCAAGAAAAATGCGCATTGACCAACACGCCGAAATCTTTTCTTGTCTTGAACTGGTCGTGAGTTGAATACTAAGCATGTTCTAACAGCTGTTTCACGCTTTCTGATATGGTTCAGTACTTTTGACTGTAAGTTGATAGTGCGTTAATGCATCACAGAAGATGCATTAAGATATTCGTATATGAAAATTTTGAAGATTTTTTAAATCTTTTTCAGTTTACCAACGATGTTTAAAAATTACGTAATTTCTGAAAACGATAAAAGAACTATTTATAAGTCCTCCAAAAAAATTCACTATTATTTCTTCATTTTAAAACAAAAGAGTACTTAAGAATTAAGAAGCTGCGCTAATTTTATCGTTTTATTTTTAATAAAAAATTAAAAGAGTCAGAATTCTAAATTGTTGTCTATTACTATCACTAAAAAGATAAAAACCATTGTTCTAAATTGTCATTTTTCATTTTCAGTACAAAATTAAGACGACCAGAATTATAAATTTAAATCACAAGGGAATAGAAATGCAAATATAATTCCCTTAAGATTTAAATTTGTTAAAAATAGGTAAAGCATGCAGAGTTAAAAAAAAAAAAAACGATTTTATATGCATCTTTTGTTAAATTTAAATTAAATATCAATCCTTAATCCAAATTCAGTTACATATAAAATTCTTTCACTTAAAAAATGTATATTCAATTACAATCCAGTTATCGAAAAACATTAACTATTATGACGTGGAAAATTTTAAACATTAATATCTAACTTAATCATAACTTTTTTTTTTACTTATTATGTGCTCCGCCATTAGGCGAGTGTAAATGTGTTTCGAAGGGAAACTCGCTCGTATCTACGTTTCGGATGGGGGAAGCCACGAGGGTCCTCATATGGCCAGCCTGTTCGCACTCACTGACTCGAGCTCCAGACCGAACTACCAGCGTGCAGCGGCTTTTACCGCTTGGCTGCTGATGGGTCCTCTCATGATAATTCACTAATGAATTCTCTTATACTGCATATTTGTGAAACTAATATCTGGGTCTATAGTTGAACAATTTATTAGTAATTATTTTATTTTTGAATTTAATATTTTATTGTGATTTTGAAGCTAAAAAATTTAAAAACATTTAAAGTATCTCAAAATATCTGTTTACAATAAATAACATATATTTGCCATTCATTTTATCGATCACTTGTTAAAACAATTATTCCATTACAACAAAAAGTGGTACGAAAAGTCTCCAACTGATGAAAGTATACTAAATTAGTTTTCAATACAATAGCTACAGATATTTTTTAATTTTTTTGTAAGACATGAAAGATCGCTAATAATGGGTGACCACTGCATAACAATATCCCACTATTTGAATATGGCCTGCAGCATACAAAGACTGGGCACTTTAGAAGCGTTAAAATAAACTGTATATAAAATTATCTCATAAGTTAACTTGGTATGTTGAAGTGTTTATAAAAACATAACAAGTAATTTAAATATCCCACTTTGAATGAAATTATTTTTTAATAAGTCATGCATTTTTAGTAACATATTATTGAAGGTTAGGCCGAAAGTATAAAAGACGTAGGGTTTTTGAAAGGACATATTGTCTTATATTCAAAATATAATGGTTTATTTTTTGTAGAAACAAATTGTAAAAATCATCTCCACTGAGTTGCCAGTTAAAAAAAAGATGATTTATTAAGTAAAATAATATAATAAATAAAAATCTGAAAAATAATTACATTAATTTTTTAAAAATATTTACTCTCTGAGGTAATGTTTTTCTCAGGGAATTATTTGCAATTGTTATGTTTCACGATATCCGAAACTTTCTCAGTAGCTTAACAGCTTAACATCTTTCGCCTCAGGTTGTGTGTCATGTTTACACCCAAGGGGACACAGAAAGAAATAACAACAACGAAAAAAATTTACCTTTACAAGGAAGGGAACGGTTTGAAGCATGGTTGCTGTTAGTGTATGGTTTCACTTGCTGGATAGTGATCATGGTGTTGAGATTCTCCAAAGGTGTGTTCCAGCTTCTGCAAAAGTTATCCGAATGGGTTTCGAGATGAAAGTTCCCTGTCTTTTCACTCTGTTCCCCTTTTTAAAAAGTCCCGCTCCAGACCACTGGATTTGGCGAGTAATCGCTCTTACTTTCATCCGGAAGTCGGCACTTTCCCGTGACCATAACCTAAAAACGGCTGCTTTCTTTTTTCAAGGTTTTTGTTACTTCTGGTTTCATTTAATGAGTTCCGCAGAAGGTGGTTTGCTGGATAGTGAAGGTTGCGCGCCGTCTGCCCAGTGAAACATTTAGGCAGAAATACGGATAAAGAGATTAAATTATAGTGCAATAAAGCTAAAATGTGTTGTGGGATATTTATAGACTTTTCCTGCTAATGGGCATACGTGGTTCCACAAAATTACTTTTTAGGTGTCTTATAAACTTACAAAAAAAAATTGTTTTTAAATATACGGCTTTATTCTCAGTATCCATTTTTATTCAAGTTCCGTTGAATTTTTAAATCTTTGTCTTTTCCAAAATACAGTGGAAACTTTTGTTGTTACCTCCTCCATAAGACGACCACCTTTGAAAGGTGACCGCTAATTTTTAGAATAAAAATATACATTAATATTAAATAATATTTTTCTAAGATGACCACTTCCGCAGAAGACAAAAAATACCTCAATCTCTAGATCTATCTCAGAGAGAGTTTATTGTACTAGAAACAGATGATAATTAAAAAAAATTACCTTACAAATTTTTTATGACTCTGATATTTTCTGCGAAAAGATACAGACAATGGGAAAATATGTCGTGGAAAATTTTAATTTCGAAATGTTTATTTCATTTGCTTGTTTTTAAAATTTGTTTAAAGTATTTTTTTTAATCTGCGAATGATCTCAACTTAGAACTTATATCAAAATTATTTAGATTAGTTAGTTTCAGATTTTACATAATAACTCATTTATTTTAATTACTGATCAAATAGAACTGGTTTTAAAGCAATTGGCTTTTGTGTATGATAAATGTTTGTTTAATGATTTATTATAAACAAACATTTTTGAACACTAATGATTTCTTTTAAATTTCTTAGTGTGGAAACCATCAATATTAAAAGTAGTTAAACTGCAACAAAAAGTAATTGCAAGATGAGATTCTACGAATTGTATTTACGGATATTCAGCGCACTCGAATTCGCTTCACTGGAGAATGGTGTACACACCCGGGTACCTGATCTGCAGGCCCTACCCCTATCGAACAAGAATGGGATATTTCCTAATTATGGGTGCATTAACAAGTTAAAAGTTTAATAATTGTTTCCCTTAACTAGAGTTTAATGAGTTGCTTATAAGCATAATTTATATAGAATTGATAGCTAAAAGAAGTAAGTGTGGTGAAACCATGCGGAGATAACTCTGAAAATGCAGATCTGGTCAAGAGCAGAACAAGTTGGTGACTGAGATTCTGAAAGATAAAGAATAGCATCGAAACAAAAATTGCAAGAAAAAGTGCAAGTGTGAATCCTTCGGTGAGCGGCTATAAAATGTAAAAGGCAAGCAAAATATAAAATGTGAGATGGTAAACATGCACTAGTAATAATTGAATTAATAATAATTAAATTAGGATACAAGAACACTGGTGTTGAGGACAAATAGTCCATTGGGATGCATTCGTAGGAACAATTTGAGAGACAGCATTACTGAACAAATAAGGTAATCGTACAATATTGCTATGTAAGTGAGGTAAACAAAATCTAAATATAAGCAATAACAGTCAGATAACATTGTCATTCAGAATTGCCGTAGGGCGCTTTACATTTGCTGGGTCTTTAACATTGTAATTACAGATTTTTATCACAGAGTTTTGAATATTTCTTTGACTTTCGAAGAAGTTACGTGCAAGTTTACAGTAGACTGTCCTAAGTTGATCAATTCTAAGTTAAGTGTGAATACGATTGTTGCGAATGTACCAGGATGAATTAGAAATTTGTCTTAAAATACAGTTTTGTGCAGTTTGAAGTTTTTTGCGAACAGTTTTACAGGATTATGCCGAAATTGGGCAGGCATAACAAAGCATGAGACGCAATACGGATTTGTAAATGAGTAACTTGTTGTGAATGGATAAAACGGCTGTTTTGAGCAATTAAGGGGAATAGTTTTGCTTTACGAATTTGAAACTTCTGTAAGATAGACGTTATTTGTGGGGTCCATGTGAGAGAATTACTGAGGATCATCCGGAGATAAGGGACCTTCTTAGCTCACGGGATTGAAGCTCCATTGCATTTTTATGCCGAGTTTTCTTAATTTTCTTGTTTTCTTAATAACAGAAAGGCCTGAGTACGAGTACTTACAAGAATTTTCCACTGGTTCAGTCAAATATCAAGTATGTTTATGTGTTTTCGTAACCATTAGATGACTGATCCAATAAATGCACATTGCGTCAGGATCGCAGTGTAATCTGCGTACATTGCGAGTGTTTTGTTGGGTGTAGTGGAAATGTCGTTCATATACACATATTAAAGAGTGTGGGTGGCAAGAGGACCCGCTGGGGACTCCTGGTATCGAATATTCTATCGAAAGAGCAATTGTGAGCTGCACGTGTATGCTTTCAAGTAGAAAAAATGAAATTTGATATACAGAAAGACAAAAACGTTCAGGGAGTGTAGTATACAGAGGTTAATAGTCCAGAGCAGGGATATGCATTCGTGGAGAACTTAAGGATAATCAGTTGGTATTTGTTCCAGACCAGGAGCTGTCAACCGGTGGTACGCAAGAGACAAATAGGTGCTACGCAAAGAAGCAGTATATTTAATTATTTAAATTCAAAAAGTATATTTAACTATTTAAATTCAAAAATTAAAACCCCAACATCCTGATTGAGTTTTTTCTCTAAAACTCGTAAATTTTTTAGATCTGAGTTTTGTTCAAGGTCAATAGCCGCTTATAGAAGAGGTGAACGATCTATCTGCAAGGCAGTTTTCGTGGTTCTTCCATGTTGTACATTTCACAAATATTCTCTTAGCCGTAGACATAACAAAACTTGATACAAATGATATTTTTAAAAGGAATGATAGAAATGGATGCTGTATTTAATAGGAAAAAAGAATAAGTTCATATAAAAAGATAATAGTATCCCATTAATTCTCTTAAATTTTATCAATTTATTAGCATGTTAGCACGTTATGTCGCCATTTCCGGGCTCATATTGCTTCATTTTCAATGAGAATAATTTTTTTATGTCGGTTTGCTGTCTCTAACAGCAGGTTTTTTTGTTGCATAGAATTCCTTACTTTTCTACGTGATTTGAGAATACCGTAGTCTGTTTTTCAAGAACTCCTAATATATTGTGCATTTAAATATTTGTGAAAAATAATTAAACAAAACTAGATTTTCAAAATAGAAAAATGGCTAGGATTGACTAACCGGAAAAGTGTCGATTCACAGGTGACGGATCCAGGACAATCTACTACCACTAAAAATATTGAAAAGAAAAAAAATTATTTCTAGAAAATATAAGGAAAGTTATTTAGCATTCGGATTTGCTTTGAATGAATATGAAACGGATCCTCAATCTCAGTGTGTTGTTTGCGGTGAGCTATTATCCAATCAATGTATGAATCCACTGTTTCTTAAACGACATCTTGAATCTAAGCATGCTAATTTAAAGGATAAATCTGAAAAATATTTTAAGAGGAAATTATCGGGAATCAAAAATAGTAGAGAAGTAATGAAAGATTTAGTTACTTCATGTGAAAAAACTTTGGAAGCTAGTTACATGGCAAGCCTAAGAATGCTATGACTGGGCAGGCTGACACTATTTGAGTAAACCTTGCATTACCAGCAGCTAAAGCTTCATTGATAAAGAATTTCTACATGCATTTTCCCGAGCATTATCAGAACGAAATTGGATTAGGAATCCATTTTGTTCAAATGTACCTGAAATTTTATCTCGTGAAGAAAAAGAAAAATTTATTTATTAAGCTATTATTTTTTAAATTTATTAAGCTATTAAATTTTTATTGCCTTTTTGCACAACCTATACTTGTGAACAAGAATTTTCTTCCATGTTATATTTAAAAAATAAGTACAGAATAAAATTAAATGTGGACAAATAAAATGTACAGAATAAAATTAAATTTATGCTTAAAACTAAGTGAAATAAGACCAGAGATAAAGAAATTGATTTCTCTTAAACATTCACAAATTTCGCACTGAATTTTAGAATAAAAGTATTCTTATATTTTGATATTTAAAATTGTAACCAATTTTTAATGTGTGCATATTTAATTCAAATAGCCAATAGGATCCTCAATAGCCTCAAATAGCCAATAGGTTGTGCAAATGGGAAAATATAGTCAGAAGCGCGCTATTAATTTCAAAATGGCATTTTGCGTAGATTCACTTTTCAAACTGTTGCCATCAAATATTATCGCCATGCATTATATTTAAAGAAATCAAATAATGAAGATTCTGCATGAATATTTCTCGCACTGTGAAAAAACAACGGTACCTAGAACCGTAAAATTTTGAATAACGTAGTCTTCCAACCGAATATGGCCACTTGGAAGCCCGAATTTTGAATTTCGAATTTGTTTTAGTATCTATTTCAAATTTTGAAAGCCTTTAAGAATTTTTGATTAACAAATTCAACGATTTCAAAGCGAGCAATGTAACTGCATGGAAAAGATAAATAAATAAATTAATTAATTAACTAATCTCTAGCGTGCAAGACTGTGCATCAGAAATTCTAAAAATATGCTGTTTTTCGTTTTTAAATATTTTGTGATATTCCTGTGGAACTGAATTTTATGTGTTTTAAGTGCGAAGAGCATGATATTTTATAAATAAAGGTAGAATACCAAACGTTAAGAAAAAACGCACTTTTTGGTGTAATATAAAATCCGAAAGCATTAAGATTTTTTTCTTTCTTTTTAGTCCAAAGGTCGTTAGCCCAGAAGGGCTATTAACTTTGTTTCGGCATTTTGCTTAAAGAAATTAAATAATGAAGAATCTGCATAAATGTATGTTTTTCGCATTGTGATAAAACAACGGACCTAGATCCATCAAATTTTGAATAACGT